ATAAGGATTTGTTTGCTACATATGAAACTGTTTCCAAAGGTGTCGTGGTTATGAGAAATAATGCATCTTGTCGGGTTGCTGGAATTGGTACAGTCAGATTGAAACTTTTGGATGGGACAATTAGAACACTTGGTTAGGTTCGACATGTTTCAAATTTGAAGAAAAATCTCATGTCGTTATCTATCCTTAATTCAAAAGGTTCTGAGTTCTTTGGTGGAGGTGGATGTGAAGTTTTGAAGGTTTGTAAGGGTGCCCAAGCTGTATTGGAGGGACAGAAAATATCTCAGTTATACATCTTGTAGAGTTGTGAAGAATTTAGAAGAGTCACTCAACACATGTTTAATACTATGGTGGACATTCAGTTTGGTACAATACCTTTAGGAGTCATAAAGGGTCAGATTTGAAGAATACAGTTCAGTGGAGTTCAGTAGATATGGATGATGCCGCTTTGCCACCATCACCTGCGATGCTATTATATTCAATTACTAGGGACGGACCCAATGGAAAAGGTTATATGAATGCTGATTTTGTTGAGCGTGTTTTAAGTAGAGTAGAAGGTGTACAATCTAGTAATGAGCCTTTTTTAAAAGCGTTTGGGTTAGATTCTGTTTTAGGGTGTGTTACATCCCATTTTGGTAAATTATAAAATCATTATGATTTTTTGGGATCTGAGATAATTTTGCAGAGCAGTGCTTGGATTTATTGGAATACGTAGAGTATTGTGTTTTGTTGGAAAAATTAATTTTTTGATTATTGTTGAAGAAGCCAGTTCATTCCTTAGTGAAATTCGTGTCAAAGTGGAGATTGTTAGAATTTGGGTGGGACTCGAATTCCTTGTTGAAATAATTGATGAATTCTAATTGAAGTGTGTATCAAGAAGAATTCAGTTTTGAATGCTATTAGAGTCCTATGTCAAGCTGAAATTCTATTTTGGAAGTTCATTAGAAATTGAAATTTGTTTTGGACTTGATTTTTGGTATCTTACTTCATCAGCAACTCTACTGGAGGGGGTTTGGGCATCCCTACATGTTCTTTATAAATACTAGACTCTTCTGTACAATTTTATGGGGTGTGAAAATAGATTACTAGAATTATATGATCTATTGTAATTTTTCTCTCTTCTCCATTATTCTTGAATCAATAAAATTTCTTAATTCATGTGCTATATTCTTGTTTTTATTATTCTTTTGTTTGATCATATATTTCATTATTATTTGATATAATTTCAACATCTCAATTCGGTGATTTAATTCACAACAATTGGTATCAGAGTTATTCTGGTATCTTGTTTGTTCTACAACAATATCATTGGCCCCAAAGTTCGTAAATGAATAATGCAATGTAGCGTAGCACTAATCAAGGTGGAGTTGACCTCATATTCTACACCCAACATTAAAATAGAAAAAATACAATTGATTACAATTGTAGAATAACAATTGTATGATGCATGATCCTCTACCACATAAACATGTGCTTACAATGGTGATAAATAATATTTTACATAAAAAGACAGATAAAAGGCAAATGTCCCATCACTATAAGCAATCTTGCTATTGTTGGAAATAATATTGAATGAAAATCAGATCAGTTTCTTCTACTTTCGTTTCAGCCATTCCTCTAAATCAGTTTCAACCGGTTTGTTTATTTTCAGTTTCATCCATTTTTTCTTCAATGTTATAACTCTCAATTCAAGGCATTAATGAGTTGGCTCCTCCTCTATGAGTATAAATAGAAGAGCTCTTGGTTGGAAGAAAATATAACATACAGCAAACACTACAAGGAAAAATAGTTTCCTCCTTCATTTCTTTCCAGCAACCTCCGGGTTGTTTTCTCTTCTTCCCTTTGCTAAGTTCTTTGAGAGAAAAACACAGTTAGTTCGTAGACAGCTAACGTAGTATAGCTAGAACTGACAACCGATTGTATCCTGGAAATCNCAACAACCGATTGTATCCTTGGAATAGAACACTAATCAAACCTCTTGCACTCCGGTGAGGTGGGGAATTCGATTTAAGGAAACCGTGTAAACATGGGCCGTCGGTTTGATTAATATACTTTGATTCTCCAATATTTTCCCTACAAGTTTAAATTGAATCCATTTCGGGGAAAAATCGTTTACTGTCGTTTTTTTCTTCTTTTGTTGCTAGTTAATTTTTTTTCTTTTTCTCCCCACCTTCAATTTGTTTGCTGTTTACATAATCTATTTAATTAATTATGTGCGGTAAGTTTATTCTTTATGAATCAGTAAGGTCGAAGGAAAAAAAATTTGTTTATAGGAAGTTTTTCTCTGCTTGCGTATTTTAGTAGTTTGCATGGTTTCTTATATGGTTTTGCATGATTTTATTTAATAACATGGTTTTAAAATCATTTTGTCATGATTAATTCCAATAATTGGTAATGATTGTCTACCTATTTTATAATTATTGTGATGATTGCTTATGATTATCTCATCATTATATTATAATTGTTTACTTTTTCTTTCAATGATTATTTTAATCATTGGTTAATGATTTTCTAATTCAATTTTTAAATGATTGACAAGTTAATAATTTGTCAAAAATAATATGCTTTTCAGTTTTGAAATTTTTTCGAACAGATAATTTAGTTATTGAATTATTATTTTTTTGTATACAACTTATTCTAAATTGTTTGTTGCTTGTTCTCTACTAAAATGACGTCACATGGAAATGACGATGTGAACAACAACACTGTTGGTACCGGTGTACCAAATCCTGCGATGACTGATGTC